GCCTGGCTCTGCCTCCCGAGTGCTGGGATTAAAGGCGTGCGCCACCACCGCCCGACTCAGCATGCTTTCTTATATAACCCAGGACCACCTACCCTGGGATGCACCACCCACAGTGGTTGAGCCCTCCTACATCAACCATTGATCAAGACAACACGCCATAGACTTGCCTACAGGCCAAAATCTTAATACACCATTTTCTCAATAAAGATTCCCTCTTCTGGGGCTGGAGAGATGGTTGAGCAGTTCAGAGTGCTGGCTGCTCTTGAAAGGGCCTTGGGTTCAATTTACAGGACCCACAGACTCTTACAATCATCTATAACTCCAGTGCCAGGAGAATTGGTACTGGATGTATTTGTACCTGTGGGCACAAATCACTTATGTGGTACACGGATATACATGCAGGCAAAACACTCCCCCACCCCCAGCATACAGCAGACCAAGCTGGGTATGGTGATAGACATCTACAATCCTGGCACTTGAGAGGATGAGGCAGGAGGATCAGGAGTTTGATGTTAGCCTACATTACTGAGTAAGAGCTTGTCTCAAAAGAAAAAAGAAAAAAGAAAAAAATTCTCATTTCGGGTGACAAGCTGTGTCAAGTTGAACAAACAAAATAAACCCAATAAGGACAAATGCTCATATCAGTGTCTTTTGAACAGTCATAAAATTAAATATGCAAATATCTATCAATAAGAAAGTGCAAAGGCAAACTGTATAATATTACTCAACAATAAAGGGAAACTTATTATTAACACTGGCAGCATCAACAAATCTTAAAAAGGTTATATTGCAGAAATCAAAATAAAATAGAACATATTGTTTGATTCAATTTTTACAAAATTCTATAGGGAAAATGACAGTATATAAATCATAACTGTAGCTCCCTCTGGGGATACGGAAAACTGAATAAAAAGAGACATGAAAGGGCAAGTTAAGTATCTCATATACTTTAATGAAGCGGTAAAATGATAGAAAAAGTAAGGTCCGGGTTCTCAGTCACTAAATAGCTGCCTTCAAATATCTGTTCTTATAAAGGTGTTATAAGGTCTAGAAGATAACAAAAACATTAAGAATAAAATGTCAGTTATCTTAATGCACAAACAGTATATAGAATTATAAACAGGAAAGAGTCTTTTATCCATGGGAGACACCTCATATTACATTAAGACAATACTTTTCAAACTGAAATGGGCATTAAGGGCTGGAGGAATGGCACAGTGTTTGATAAAGTACAAGTGTATGTGGACCTAGGTATGGATCCCTAGAGCCATTGTAAAAAAAAAAAAAAAAAGCCAGGTAGGTGTGGCAGCTACCTATAATCCCAGCACTTTGGAGGCAGAAACAGAAAATACCCAGGGCAAGCTGGCTAGCTAGCCTAGCCAGAGGTTGGTGAGCTCTCAGTTCAGAAAGAGACCCCATTTCAATGAATAAAGTGGGTAGTGACCAAGAAAAATATCTGATGTCAATTTTGGGCCTCCACATGCATGTGCATACAAATGCAAGCACACTTTCACACATAAACAGGTGTGCCCAAACACACGAGAGCATGAATGCAGGGACGGACACACACACACACACACACACACACACACACACACACACACACACGTACTTAAAAGTAATATTCCTAAAGTTAACTTCAACATTCAAATAAATTCTACAAATTAATCATTGTATACTGATGACATTATGTTCAGCAGAACCTTGGGACAGGGTATTATGAACCAGTATAGAAAAGACTTGAAGAGGATTATGTGTTAGAAAAACACTTTCTCGGGCTGGAGAGATGGCTCAGTGATTAAGAGCACTGACTACTCTTCCAGAGTACCCAGGTTCAATTCCCAGCATCCACATGGCAGCTCACAACTGTCTATAACTCCAGTTCTAGGGGATCCGACACCCTCACACAGACATACATACATACATACAGACAAAACACCAATAAAAAATAAAACTAAATAAAATAAAAAAAAATATTTTCTTTCTCTTGGAATGACAGATACAGGGTTTCTACTCTTGTTTATTCCAGACTCTAAGAGCCTTACATACAAAAGGAGAAATGTAACAATTAGCTTAGTTTGTACAAATTGTGAAGTAAAATGACCAGCCTAGACATTTTAGTAGTTTTTTTCTTCTATTAAAAATGCAGTTTTAAGCTGGACCCATGCAGGCTTACTTAGTGCTTCTTTATATACATTGACTAAGAGAAATGTCATACCTCACTACAAGATGCAACTGCTCTGTGTAAAGGTGTCAACCATTTGCTGTCTTTGGCATTAACTCTAGCTCCTGTAACAAGAAGAAAAAATAATTGAAATATTTTATACGAATTATTTTAATAAATCTAAAGTTAGATGTAGTCCCAATTGGATAACAAATGAAAAATTACTTGTATATTTTCTGCCAATAAATTACCCTTAAGTTATAAAACAAAATCATTCTTTTAAGTTGATGTAATTATCAAAATAGGAATCAGTTCTTTTTATTAAAAATAAAATAAACATCATTTTATATCTAGGCTAGAAAAGCCACCTTTATACAGAGCATATTCAAGATAAAATCAAATACTACTTTAAAGTATGTGTTAACCTCAAATACTTAAAAGAAATGAACACAATTTTACTCCAAGATGAATTGTATATTAATTTAAAATCTTCATTGCATTTCTTGAATGTATTATGTCATAAAGTAACACAAAGATAGTTGTACAGGTCTAACTATAAACAGACTGATATAAGGTTATCATAAAAAATGGATCCAATGTTTATAAATGTAGGAAAACAAAGAAGAAACAAACCAATTTACATGTCTTTCTTGGTTATACCTAAAGTTTAAAGAAGGGTTTTTAAAAAAATCAAGTATGTGCAAATTAAAAAAAAAAATTTAAGTCAACAGACAAAAGTACCAACAAAATATTAATACATCCAACAAGATAAAAATATTACATTATAAAGTTTTAAAAAAATGAACCAAATACAAGGGGCTTACAGTAGTAGTATGCTGTGAGCAGAATAGAAATTACTCTGGCTTTTCAACTGGCCAGATTCTGGACAGATAGGTTCTGTCCTATACATCACTCTACATTTATGCTGCAAACCCCAATTCCTAATTTCCTAGATGATCAAAAAAAAAAAAAAAAAGTATGATGAATAATCCTTAATAAATTTCTGCAGTTTTATACTTATGTACACAAATCAGAGTCAAGTATTGCTAGAATTCATACTTCCTAATACTTACATTGCTTCTGTGTTTTTAAGTGCGAGGGTCCAGGGGACAGATAATCAAGTGCAGTGACTTTATGTCATAGCCCTAATGTAGTTGGGTATCCCCTCAGAACCTAAGTTTCTTTATCTATAAAACAGATTTCATGATATCTTGGTACAAAGATTATCATATAGCAAACTCAGTACATATGTTGATGGTAGATTTAGAAGTCCTGAGCACAAGAGATTATAAAACATGCAGAAAACAAATGTATTAAAAATTTGAGAGTAGACCGACAGCTGTGGAACCCACATGGGACCCGACTAGACCCTCTGCATAGGGAGACAGTTGTGTAGCTGGGTCTGTTTGAAGGGCTCCTGGCAGTGGGATCAGGATCTGAACTGTCTTTCTGGATCTCATTACCTATGGTCGGACACCTTGCTCACCCCTGATAAAGCAGGGAGGGAATAGGTCCTGCCTCAACTGAATGTACCAGGCTTTGCTGTCCCCGTCATGGGAGACCTTACCCTTTTGGAGGACAGGTGGTTTGGGGGGAGAAGGGGCTGGAGGGAGGAGCGGAAGGAGGGGTATCTGTGGTTGGTATGTAAAATGAATATAAAAAATTGTTTTAAATTAAAGAAAAAAATGAGAGTAGTTGAGTTCTCTAGGCATCGACAGTGACGACAGTGACACAACAAGAGCCCATGGGAGCTTTCAAGAATGTGGAGAAGGAAGGAGTGAAGTCAAAACTAACGCCCTGATCAGAGGGAGTAGTGTCTACATTTTAAACAGTTCGTCATGCTAGGGCTCGAACTCAGGATCTTGCAATGGTACAGAAATGCTCTATAACAAAGCGCACCCCAGACTGGAGTACATCCGTGTAATAACTATTTAGGCCCCTGGAGGCCAAGCAGTTAAAGCACACGAGCCGGCACAGCGAAGTCAGACTCGGTTTTGAATCTAGGTAAAAATATTTGAAATTTTCATTTCTTTGGAAGGCTCAAGTCCTACTTCATAAAGGACAATAGGGTCTGTCACTCTTTCATCTGCCTGCTGAGGAGTTCCATCGTGCTCTATTATCCCCGCGGCTCTTTCTACATAAATACTCATGTCCACAAATGTAAACATACATAGTAGAGATATAGACAACTAGATGAGAAAATACATAAAGGCAAAAAGATGAGATTTCATAAACGTCTTCAAGAAGTCAGCATTAAAGTAACGACAAGAGAACAGATGTGGTGGTCACAAAATACTGAGGCACTCCATGTGCTACTACAGCTCTGAGAAGTACAAAGTGGAAAAAAGCAGTAACTAGAAATATCTCTTACCTTTAATTAGAAATAGGAAGAGATAAGTCTATATTTATATTTGCTTAATACAAATACTGAAACTCTAGAGGAAAACAAGCTATTACAAGAGTAGGTGCCTGAGTGGTTGGTTATGGGGCACATTGAATACTGGGCAGGCACACAGAAGGATGGGGTGGGGAGAAGAGCTACTTCATTGCTATTCTGTTATTACAGCTCATGTTACTTTCTATTTATGTACAGAATAATCTTTGTATGCCTATTCAAAAAGTAAAACATATTCAGGAAGAAATTAAGGGATGATTATGAAAATTTCCAAGAATTTAGCTTCAAGCACAAACAATAGAAAATGAACCAGGAACTGGATAATTTTTTTTTTCTTTTTTTAAGTCTTTCTTTTGGACATGGGTTATGAGATACATAACGACATGGAAACAATCTAATTATAGGTACACTAAGGAGATCAAAATTCAAAAGAAAACTCCCTGTTCACTCTGTTTTGTTCTGACAGTCTTTTTCCTTCTTCAAGTTTAATAACAATCAAAATTAATTTATTGAAACAAGCAACTACAATAAAGAACCCATTAAAAATTAACTGAGGATATCACACTGCTATTTGTGACAAATAATACTAAAAAATATAGGGCTTGTTCAATGATGGGATTTTAAACTTTTTTTTTAGAAGATGGCTATCTTTTGTTACATCCTAGGCCTCTTTGAAAAGCACTAATCAGACAGCCCCTTCCACCCTCAGCCCCCAAAAGTAATAACCTAGACAGGAAGCCATCGAAGAGAACTCTTAAAAATTGTGGTAAGTGTCTTCTGTGCAGCATGGTGTGCTTGAGTGTAGCTCTCCACACCAGATGGCTGCTGGCGGGGGTGCAGGTGGGGAAGGACTCACTCTTCTTTAAGAGGCTGCTCATAGGGAGTTTGACCAGCTCGAGTGACTATATAGATAACATAAATTGGACTTTTTTGGGGGGAGGGGGTGAACAAGGTGGGGGGCAGACCAGGGAGGACTGGGAAGTAGAATGATCAGGGTACATTATGTAAAATTCCCAATAATCAATAAAAATATGTTAAAAAGTAAAAATAAAAGCACTAACCAAATGTTTTAATTTCTTGTATGCAAAGGCCAATTTATGAAAAACTCTGTGGGCACCAATGAAAAAGGCCTCTCTCCTACACACATTCATTAATTTGCATATTAACAAACGATATAGTAATGCATATTTTCAAGAACAGTAGTTGGCTGTATTCCTATAAAAGGAAATAATAACAGCAACAATAATAATGATCTAAGAGCCACAAGCAAAGCAGCACATTTTTGATGTGTCAGATTGCTAGAGCCTCTTTCAGTAAACTCCCTGAAGGCAACAGAGTTCTGTTCTACAAGGAACTCTGTTAGGATCAGTTATACATTAATACATACATTAGACAACAAAGCCAATCTAGTAATGCAAAAGATACAGCCAGAGTAGTTATGTGGTCCAACAGCTAGTCAAGAGTACAGAATACTACCCGGGCGGTGGTGGCGCACGCCTTTAATCCCAGCACTCGGGAGGCAGAGCCAGGAGGATCTCTGTGAGTTCAAGGCCAGCCTGGGCTACAGAGTGAGTTCCAGGAAAGGCACAAAGCTACACAGAGAAAACCTGTCTCGAAAAACCAAAAAAAGAGTATAGCATACTAGTCAGAAAGGTTAACAGGGAAGAAAGAAAGGAAAATAAAAAGGAGCGGGAGGAGAGGAAGAAGAGCATTATACTCCCTTACAACATAAACTCTGTGGAGAGAATACAAAACAAGCAAACCTGTAACAGCCCGTAGCAGTGTTATCACATGCTCTACACATGACACACGATAAAAATCTATGAGCTATAAAGATGCAAAGTCACTACGAAAAGATTAACCTCTTCACTATGTCCTGGTTATTCAAACAGAAACTATACTCTAGGAATCCTATCTCCACTGCTACTCCTAGGTAGGTATTTGTTTTGGCAGGAGAAATCATTGCAAACAACGTGAAGGCAAAAAGAAAGCTGTTTAAGGAAGATGGCACTGATGACTATTCTAACTGCTGGACCATTTCTCCAGCCCCCAATACACAGTTCTCAGAGAATAAAAGTATTTTTTAAAAGAACAAGACATGTAGACACAGATACAGACAGACTGAAAGTAGAGGGAGAAGGCCTCTACACAAGCCAAGGAAAGAGGCACACTACAGAGCCTTTGCTTTCAAGAAGGAAGGAGTCCTGCTCATGGCTTGATCTCAGGTTTCTGACTAGAACTGTGAGAAGATAAATTTCTGTTGTTTAAGCTACCTGTTTGATGGCACTTTTTTTTTTCAATGACAGCCCTGGCTAATTAATACACATGGATTGCACACTTTCAAGGGATTATTCATACTTTAGGTCTAATTCTTAAAGGCAGAAATAGCAGATTCTTGTTCTGTATTAAGAATTATTTTCTAAGAGGACAATGAAATGAATTTTTGAGAATGCCTTCCATATGCTGGCAGTGTAACAATTCAGCAGTCAACTTAGTCAGCTAAGATGATTTGAATGGAAGCATTAAATTAATAGCTTCCAAACAAAATATCGATTTTTAAGTGATGATAAAATTTAGTCTTTTGGACAGACATTCTACAATAAAAATTAATGTGTATTCAAATTCTACTCTATGTGAAGCAATAATGGTAATGAAGAAGGGTAGGAACGGGAAAAGAGAGATTCGGATTATGGCAGAGGTAATATGAACTGAACAGAATGTGAGTCTGAA